ATTTCATATGTAACACTAACAAGCCTACCTTGCGGTTGGAACTCCGGCCGAAACATGGGATTTTCCGGAATCTCCGTATTCCTCAATAACTGCGTGTAATTGTTCCGTTTCTTCATAACTGATACGATGATCGATCCAATCAGTGGAACCTCAAGTAGCCACACGAAAAGCTTCAGCGCAAGACCCGTCAAGTGCGGAGCTGCATTCCGAATTTTACAATCCATCACAAGCGAAAAAAAAAAAAAAAAAAAAAAAAAAAAAGTTAAACCAAACGTTTATCCGTGATTGAAAACTAATTTGAAGAGAAAAAACGTGCCTGAGATGTTTATTGGTTGGTACTTAACGATTGCGATGTCGACCTCCTTCGCCGGCAACATTACTCTCTTCTTCCCCATCTTCTTGGCCTATCTCTCTCCCTCTGCCGCCTTCGATTTCTGAAAAACGAGGTATTGAAGAGAAAGTCAAAGGAGAATGCGTTGAGCTAGAGTTGATCAGACGGAGAACCTCTCGATGGTGCAGAAATGGAGGGGAGAGAAAGAGGAATATTGGTTATGGAACGGCTGGAAAAGATTAATGGAGTTGGTCAACTGCTCTGACTGCAACCAGTGACCACTGACGGGAGAATAACAGAGAAAACGGTGGAGGACGATGCAGGAGCCGGCGGAGCGCACTATGTGCCGCTGTAGCGTTTTGTGCAATTTTTTTTTTTCTTTTTTTTCCGTGGGGTTGGGTGGAGATTTTTTATTGTACACCAGACTGAAATTTACCTCCGCTGTGTGGCTCGGTTTTTTAGATACCTATTCGTAATGATTAATATAACATTTTAGAGTCAATTTCGGAGAATTGAAACAACTCCTTAAAAAAACACTTGTTAGTGTTATTAAAAAAATATAGCCATCAAATTTTTTTTAAAATCACACCACAAATTTTTAATAGCTATTGCAGTTAGTGAAATACGATAAGAAAACACGACTTTGAGTTGTAACATTTTTAGAACACACGCAAAACGCATTTTACCAAACATGAAAAACTAAGATGTAATGTCGCACCGCCGCCGCAGTGCCGCCACAAATATAACCTTAATCACTCAAACTTAAAATCTAAAATTTTAAGCACCCAAAACTCTAAATATAACATTTTTTACCGAACAAAACTTTCATTCAATGCATTCACTAGTAAGTAATGGAGGGTAGTATAATGAAAAAGTGGTTAAAATATTATATTTAAAGTTTAGATGGTTAAGGGTCTATTTGAGACATGTGCAACTATTAGAAAAAGTTGTTGCAGAAGAAAATGTTTTTCAAAAAACTGTGGTGATTATTACAAATTTGTGTTATTTTCAAAAAATCAGACCACGTCTTTCTGGCAGCTGCAACACTGTAACAGCTTAAGTTGATAAAAACAGTTTTCTACCATAGAAAATTTTAAAAAACAGCAAGAAAACAGTTTCCCAAACATAATTGTGGTAGTGGTCTGAAAAACAAAGCAAGTAGAAAGTTGTCAAAAACATAATTGTTTATATCAGTACATTTTATAATTTAAAAGTAAATATCCAGTACAGAACATTAGAAAATAATAATAATGACAACTCACTTAACATTGTATGGCATTATTACTAAAATTAAGAAAAAAAACTATTAAAATAATAATTAATAATATTATAATATTATTTTTAAAATGTAGACAACCTATGTCACAAGTTAAAAAAAACTATTAAAATAATAATTAATAATATAATAATATTGTTTTTAAAATGTAGACAACCTATGTCACAAGCTAAGCTATCCTCCAGGAATACTGTTCATGTCCAATCACTTTCAGTTGTAGAATCTTTCAGTGTATCTGCCGACCGAAAATAATCACAAATTTTTGTGATTCTCCGTGGGCACCTATAAAATTGTCACTTGTAGCTATGTGACTGACATGAAGTTAGCATGGAACTTTGAAGTCCATAGTAACAGTGCAATTCTTTGGAGAAATTAGAAACTCTCGAGCTCATCTTTTCTGAATGCTTAAAAAAACATGCTCTTAGATATAACACAAGTAAAAATTGATAACATAAGTAATTAATTATAGTTTTACACAGTTGTGAGGTCTCAATGAACTCAGTATATAAACCAACAAATTTGTCATCACAAAAAGACAACAATCCTTATAAAAAATGGGTTATTGGTTGTCTTTAACCCACATAAGACCAAGCTCGTTCGTGTCACAAATGCATATCACAAAAAAAAAGGTCATTCAAAAGAACGTAAGAAACCGTATCACAAAAAAATAGAGGAACTTGGTTGTATTCATTAGGATTTCATATGTAACACTAACAAGTAGCAACATACAAGTCATCCAGAAGAATTCATAAGGTAAAATGTCTCATCATAGACCTTCAAAACCAACTAATAGTAAAAACACACATACAAAATTACGTAAAAAATCAAAATGGTAAATATCAAATGCATAAAGAAAAAAAATAATCATGAATTTTATAAAATACTAATATAATAAAAAATGAATGTCGTTATTACAATTAATAATATGATAAAAACTAACATTACCTCTAATCACCCTCAAAATATTGCATGTGTAATTTGTTTACTGAACTCTACCTTCTCGCTTACACCTTCCACATCTTTCATGCAGGTCTTAGGAACATCATTTTCGGTCTGTGACAAAGATTATCCAAGACGGTATTCATATGTCTCGGTAGGGACATGTTCGTGATCATCATCCGTCCTCTGAAAATTGTTGTCATTGCGATAAGGATGTCGTTGAATATACTTATGAAGAATCATTGTAGCAATCACAATCTGTACAGTTTTTAAAAACGGGTAAGATGACATATCGCAAAGTACAACTCATTCTTCTTCTAAATATCAAAAGTCCTTTCAATAACACCGCGTCAGAATGCATGTCTTTTGTTCAACATTTAATTCCTGTCCCGCGCAACATTGTTGGATCACTCAAAATAAGGTAAGTGCTATCTCATATCATGATTGGGCTTGTGACACCCTTGTTGCAATGGATACCTAATATTGACTAAATAGTATTTATCTGATTTGAATTGAATGAATAATGTTGAGGGAAAAAAGAATTAGGACCTGCTTAGTCTCAGGCGAACCAATGGATGGATGTGAGAAGTTGTATTTGTTATTCTGTGTTACATATTTGAATATTCTACTATCATGAGCACTGCCCTCTCAACCAGTCATGACAAAAGCGAAACACATGTTGAAGTCGCATATTGTTGACAATCTGCGTCGGCGACCCATAACGGCTGATGAATGTGATCTTCTCATTATTTGAAACATGTGTATCAAAGTGCGCTCCATCAATTACTCAAATATAATTCTATAAAAATAACAAAAGGTTCCATAATTACAATATTTATATGAAATTTGATTCTAATAAATATGATAAATTACCTTAAAGTATGACATGTATGGTGGATCGTGTGAAATCTATATGGAGGCCCATTTGAATGCAAGATATGCTGGTTTTATTACTTTGTGAAGAAAAAGTGATAGTGCATTCAACCCTATTGAGAAGTATCTGCAAATCATTTCAAAAGAGTGTTGAGATCGCTCCATAGTTCATCACATTGATTCATTCTATGATAATAAGTAGAGGATTATTGCTAACACCTCTCATAAAGTCGTTCTAAATGAGCTGTGAAGTTCATGATTTTTGTATAGTTCCTCCAACACATCAGTGAATACCACATGTGACATACGAAACATATTATTAAATCTCATTGACCGGACAACGAGCAACTCTCCAACACATTTATTATCAACAAATGAGGATTTCATGTAATGGAAGCACTCTATGTACGAGTCGTAATATTTGTACATCAAGCATACTGCAGCTGCAACTCTCCTTCTGCCCCTTTCTTTATTTGCATCAATGTATTTCAATGTCGGAGTGGCTAACACATAAGCATTAATGAATTGGCTACAATCATATAAGGTCACAAATAAAACCAACATAAGCAGATAACCTTACAAAAGTAAATACAATATATAATAAGGAATAAGAAGCTCTCACATAAAATGGCATGTCCAAAGCAGCATAAATATCCAAAATATCACAAAAAATCATAAATAAATAAATATGTCCCACAAGAATCTAATAAAAAAAGAGTCTCTCAAATGTCACTGCTCCTAAGAAAATAATGTAGCTAAGTCACCCAACAGTCAGCAGACATCGTTATAAAAACTCTCTCTAGATCAAATCTTCACGCAACTTCACAGAGAATAAATACAGCAATTTGTTCTCATAAATTTTTGGAGTTGCATCCAGAATTCACATAACCTGCAGGACAGAAGTTGCTTGTGATGGGTCGGAGTCATTGATGCATGAAGCCACCAACTGTGAGATCTAGCTTTTAAGGAAAGAAGCTCCCTCTTTTTTTTCAACCCGAGGACGCTTTGACTGGCTCCTGGACTCAACTTCACATAGGTCTGTGTTGGGGCCTTTATTGGAATCACATGTTTGATCAACTCTCAAATTTTTTGGATGCCACCAAACCTCATTTCACAGGGGGCACTTGCATTGTTATCTGTTGTCACGACACCTCCAAACATACGATCCAACTCCTCCAGCTCAGGATCAATTCCACTGTATTTAATTTTTTTTTTGTAGCAGACACCACCTACGAATTCATAAAACATGTTGGAATTGAAAATAAATTAAAAATTGACAAAAAAACATGGGACATTTCAGAAATGCTCACGCCGTATCTCTGCCCACCACTCCTCATAAGCATTAATTGTTCGCTTTACGGATCTCACCCCAAGCTTGTTGATCGTCGCTTCAATTCCTTGCAGAGTTTATAATCATTCTTTAGCTAATTTCATTTTTTATTAATTGCATCCCATCATACTATTTGTTCGTACTTTTCTGAAATTTTCTTATAAAAATTTGTCACTCTTCCTTTTGGAAATAGTTTGTCAGCCTATTTCCCAATTTGACCTCCTTGAGGCAAAGGTCACTAAATATTAATTTTGTCTATTTATCCCACATTGCAGATGAATTGGTCTCATTTCTCTTAACCATAGTATTACTATCATGAAAAAAACTAATTAATATAAATAAGAATGCTACAATATCGCAACTCAAAGAAAAATATGAATTTCTCAGTATCATTAATAATGCCCCTCCACATCACAATATAACACCGTCTACACATCACCACTGTCACCACCTCCACACATAAACACCCCCACACACTAACACATTAAGACACCAACACATCCACAACACCACCCAGATCGATTTTGTCAACTCCTCATGCTCTAGATTGAGTATGTCAACTCCTCATGTTCTAGATTGAGTCCATCAACTCCTCATGTCCCAAATAGAGTCTGTCAACTCCTCACTTGCCACTCGCTCAAATGGCTTCAACTTCTTAGCCACCCTTTTCTCCCACTTTTTTTCCTCAGCTCGACTTCCGACTGACGCTTTACTCAAAGGGCAACCATCATCTTCACCCGGTCGATGATTTTAAGCACTGAATCAGATCCTTTCTCCATGAGGATGATATAAAAGCCAAGTGGATGCAAAGAGGAACAAACTCAAGACATTGAGAACCGCCCACTATGCCCTATATATAAGGGTTTTG